TGGTTGTAGATGACAGACTGCATCACCACAACTTCCTCATTCATCACATCGGCCAAAAAAAAGCATTTTTTGACAGTGTAAACACATTTTTAGAAATGTTTGTGGAAGCCCAGCGACTTTGCTTTATGGGCAGTATATGTGTTTTGATGTGTGGAGTACGTAGCTGCTGAACTGCTGTGCAAGTATAGAACAAAAAGTCCTCCCAGCGGACTCTGACTGGACCAAAACATAGTAACCGTGACGTTTTCGTGGCATCTGCAGCTGAATTTGCAACAGTGTGAACAACATGCAGATACCTCAAGGAGGAGTCTTTTAAAAACTTTTCAACCATTTGTGTTATTCAGAAAATTTTGTTTCAGTAATTGAGGGACCATCTTGTAATCCAGGATCCTGTTAACACATTGGCACTTTACTCCAGTTCGCTTTGCAATAAGGAACTGAATTTGATTATCTCTGACAGCTATTGGAGAGATTGCAGTCATATTAGCTGCAAATATTCATTTCACCCCATGGATTAATTCTGTAGTCGTAATGTAAATGCTCTCAAAGGGAATCTCTTTCGATTCAACCTTACTATTACTTTTTGGTTATAGGGTTGTTTCCGTAATATCATCATGTTAACAGGATAAACTAAGATAACGATCCATCGCTCTAGTCTCTCACAATAACAGGCATTTGTTTTAACGCCTATTGTTTCTCTAATGAATGCACAGCCACACATTTTGGAACTGGCCTTTACCTTTGCAGTTTCTGCAAAGGAACTGTAAAACACTGTGTTGTGCAACGTTGTTTGTTGGCAAAAGTGTCACCGTCGTTCCAGACAGCCACACTTGAAAGCAGAATGAAAAGCTGTCCATACAGTATGGTATATGGGACATCATTTAGGCTTAGCCATAGAAGCTGTGCATTTCCAGACAGTGTTTGCTGGGTGGTGATATTTATAGCGAAAAAAGGAACTGATAGTCTTGCACTTGGTCGTCTGCACACAAAAAGTCTGAGAAAAGTTTTAAGCCTGCTTACTTTATCACCACTACAGTCCTTGTAAATCACTGCTTAAAGGAGGCACAAGTTACAGAAATTGTTGAATATCTTTGACCATCCAAAGAATGCTGTGATGAAGCATCGTGTTACCTCACAGAACCGCAGATCTGCTAGACGCTGAGTCTTGTTTCTCTCTTGTGAAGTTGTAAAACCGAGGGATAAGTGCTCAGCTTTCCTTATTTGTCGTTGCTGGGTTTCTTCTGGTGCAGGTCCAAGATGTTCCTCTGTATGTGAGAAAAGCTGCTGGGGAGAAACTGCACAGGACTGCCAAACTCGTGAGTTAAAATCATGTGCACGCGCTTCGGTTTTCACTGGAAAAATACCCGGAGCAGGTGAAGTGTAGCTGGAAATGTTGACCTCTAACCTTTTTGTTCTAAGTGACCCGAATTAATTGTGCATCGGGATGTCAGCGATGTAAAGGCCCTCTGCCCAATGACTGCTGTCACGTGCAGTGTGCCGCTGGGTGCACAGGACCTAAAGACTCAGACTGTCTGGTAAATTTATCACACATTTGTCCTGTTGTCTTTTTTATCTACCGTGGCATCTCATTATGTTGTCAGACAGTCTTTTCTAATCACTGGGTGCCGTGCTTCGTCTTCTCTCCAGGCATGTCGTCACTTCAACAACAGCGGTGTGTGTATAAAAGAGTGTCCTCCACCAACCATCTATGACCCCCTCACCTTTCAGACCAAACCCAACCCAAACAAGAAGTTCACCTTTGGAGCCACCTGCATCAAGACGTGTCCTTGTAAGAACTTTAGAAATCCTAGTTAAGAAGTCTAGAACGCAGTGCAGCTTATAATTAACTGTCTAGCTATAGGACACCTTCATGATAGTGGATGTAGATGCCAAGATTTCAGTTTGCCTATTTAATTGTAGCTTTTCCTGCTGCACAGTTGCCCTTTGAACACTCTGTGTCCCTTTTTTATAGATAACTATCTGGCAATGGAAGTGGCCTGTACTCTCTTTTGTCCCCGAGACAACCAGGAAGTTATCATCAGCAACCCTGACGGACTGGAGACGCAGAAATGTGAACCCTGTAGAGACGACTGTCCCAAGGGTAATGTAACAATACATTGTTTACAGCCGTGGCTTTGGTAGGTTCACCTGTACATCTCTTCATTAATGCAACTCTGTGCATAAAACCATGCAGACACAGTCAAGAGGTTTAGCTGTTGTTTTTATTTTGTTGTTTTTTTAAATTATTTTTTTGGCCTTTCGGCTTTATTAGACAGTATAGAGGAGGACAGGAAAGTAGGGAGAAGAGTGGGGTGAGGACCTGCAGCATATGGCCGTGGGCTCCATTCAAACCCATGGCTGCTGTTTGTGGGTGTTGATACTGAGCTACCGGTTTAGCTGTTGTTAAAAGAAACATTAAAATATTGAAGAAAGGCATCTAACTGACTTTGGGAAAAATACAAAAGCATCCAGTGAGTTTCAGCTCTGTGGAATTGAACAGTTTTTTAACAAGGGAGGTCAGAGGAGAACCGGCTGGTTCAAGCCGACAAAAATCCAACTGAACTTTAATATCAATGGGGCCCTATTGATGGAAAAACTGGAGCGTGAGATGGACACACAGATTGGAGCTGCTTAAGCAGTAATGTTGGTGGTTTACTGGATTGTCGAGGAAACTGAGTCAGATGGCAAAGCTCTCGCTTTACCAGTTGATCTACGTTTCAGCCCTTACTCATGGTTGTGAACTCTGAGTTGTGACCGAAAAA